CTTGATTCTGCATGGTCTCCGCCTGCGGAAAGCGATGTAGCACCATCGTCGGACGCTGTTGGGGACTTGGAGTCCGCGCCGAGGGGGCTGGGCTTTACTCTCTTACGAGATCCCATCGACGGCATGAAAGCTTAACTAATAACATCACCGAATGCGAGATGAGGTGCAGATCAAAGCATGGAAAAGCCTAAGACCAAGTGAAAGGAGATGCTATGATGGGGGGAAGGCCAGCAGACTAGCCACCAGCGATGGCAGCCGGAGGATCAGCGCGGGTCTTTGGTTGGTTATCAGCCAAATCGGGCCAGCATCACGCCTGACATCACGTCACATGCTCTCTGCTGACCGTCTTTGTTTGCCTCGCCGCCTCAGGCGGTGAAAGGGTGTGATGTGGCTGGTGTGCTGGTGCTCCTGCACCGCCACATGCATCCGGGCTGGAAGGGGAAATTTTTATTTTTCGGGGCCGATGTGGAGAAGGCCAGGAAAGGATCCATCCAGGCCGCCGATAACTTTTTTTCCTGGATACATTCTTTTGTACCGCTTTCACCATTCCTACCCACTTGCATCCGCAGTCTTCTGTTTAGCGGTTTCGTTTTTTTCGTCGAGTGTGCCTCGACCTCCCATCTCTCAAGATGGCGATTCAAAAGAAGGTAATGCGGCATTGGTCTGTCCCGCGGTCATGGGAATCCCAGTACTGACAATGACTTAGCATGGTAAAGGTCGTTTGGATAAGTGGTATCGCCTGGCGAAGGAGAAGGGTTACAGAGCGAGAGCTGCTTTCAAGCTGATCCAGCTGAACAAGAAGTATGGCTTTTTGGAGAAGAGCAAAGTCGTTCTCGATCTTTGCGCGGCACCCGGTGTGAGTACAACCCATCAGTGTGATTCTTAACGCCGAGTCCGGTGGCTGACTACTTTCGCAACACAGTCGTGGTGTCAAGTTGCTGCAGAATGCATGCCCGCACAGAGTATCATTGTCGGTGTCGATCTTGCGCCTATTAAGCCGATCCCCCGAGTCATCACTTTCCAGAGCGATATTACAACCGAGAAGTGTCGCACAACAATCAGACAGCACCTGAAGCACTGGAAGGCTGATACCGTACTTCACGATGGTGCTCCCAATGTCGGTACCGCCTGGGTTCAGGATGCTTTCTCTCAGGCAGAGCTGGTGTTGCAGTCTCTGAAGTTGGCTACGGAGTTCTTGGCGGAAGGTGGTACATTTGTTACGAAGGTCTTCAGATCCAAGGACTACAATCCGCTCCTGTGGGTTTTCAAGCAACTCTTTGCGTCCGTGGAGGCGACGAAACCTCCGTCTTCTCGAAACGTTTCTGCAGAAATCTTCGTTGTTTGTCGCAATTACAAGGCACCAAAGCGTATTGACCCGAAGTTCCTCGATCCTAAGCACGTCTTTGCAGAACTTGCGGACCCTACCCCCAACAACGAGGCCAAGGTGTTCAACCCGGAGAAGAAGAAGCGCAAGAGAGAGGGTTACGAGGAGGGCGATTACACGCAATTCAAGGAGGTCCCGGTTACTGAATTCATCAACACCACTGATCCCATTGCCATCCTGGGTTCATGCAACAAACTCAGCTTCCAACAGTCCCCAAGTGGTGACCTTGCCCTCGCCACTCTGGAGAGACTAGAAGAGACGACCGACGAAATCAAAGCCTGCTGTGAGGATCTCAAGGTTCTGGGTAAGAAGGAATTCAGGAACCTGCTCAGGTGGCGACTGAAGGTGCGGGAGCAGTTCGGTCTCGCTGTGAAGAAGGGTGGTCAAGCCAAGGAGGATGAGACCGAAGAAGTGGCGGAGGTCGCTCCTATGGATGACGAGCTGGCCATTCAAGAGGAGCTGATGCGCCTTCGTGAAAAGGAAACCTCCAAGCAGAAGAAAGAGCGCCGCAAGGAGAACGAGAGGAAGCGCAAGGAAATCGTTCGGTTACAGATGCACATGACGACACCCATGGATATCGGAAAGGAGCAACTGGGACCTAATGGCGAGGATGCCACATTCTCGCTCAAGCGCGCCGAGAGAGGTGGAATCAGGGACACCATTGCTGCCGGCCATGAAGCAACGATTGAAAGTGATAGCGAGGACAGTGCTTCTGAGTCTGACTTCGAGGAGAGCGATGACGAGGAAGACCGTCTGGAGCGGGAACTTGACAACCTGTACGAGCAATACCAGGACCGCAAGGAGGACCGGGACACGAAGCTACGGGCAAAGAAGGCCAGGAAGGACTTTGAAGCCGACTCCTGGGACGGCTTTTCCGATGATGACAAGGAAGATGGTGGGGACTCCGACGACGAGGGTCTTGGAGTTGGCTCTGCCGGCGACAAAGCTCCCAAGTCAGCTTCCCTTTCCAACAGTGCGTCGCTATTCTTCGACCAAGATATATTTCAAGGCTTAGAAGACATCGACGATGTCGAAGATGAAGATGACGAAGTGGCAGATGAAGATAGCGCCATCGAAGTTAAGTCTAAGGGCAAGGAGTCTGAGAAGAAGAAGGCAAAGGAATCCAAGAAGCCTGTTCAGGAGATGGAAGACTCGGATGAAGAAGATATTGAAGAGCTTGAGGATCCACGGAAGAAGAACGGGCAGCTCGGTAAGTTCGCAAATTGTGGCATGACATTGCCTTGTACCCTGGACAGTTAATGCTGACTCTACTACTCAGATATCGACATCATCACTGCTGAAGCTATGGCCCTCGCCCAACAGATGGCTACTGGAGAGAAGAAGTCTTCTGATGTGGTTGATGATGGCTTCAACCGATTTGCGTTCCGCGATAGTGATGGTCTCCCCGAGTGGTTCCTTGACGACGAGAACAAGCACAGTATCCAGAACCGCCCTATCACCAAGGCGGCCGCAGCCGCAATCAAGGAGAAGATGCGCGCCATCAACGCTCGCCCGATCAAGAAGGTTATGGAAGCCAAGGGTCGCAAGAAGTTCAAGGCCGCCCAGCGACTGGAGAAGTTGCGCAAGAAGTCTGCACTGTTGGCAGATGACGAAGCCCTCAGCGAGCGTGACAAGTCGCAGGCCATTGCGAGATTGATGAGCAGGGCTACCAAGAAGAAGCCCAAGCAGCAGGTGAAGTTGGTGGTTGCCAAGGGAAACAACAGGGGTATCTCTGGACGTCCTCGTGGTGTCAAGGGAAAGTACAAGATTGTCGATTCTCGTATGAAGAAGGATATCCGGGCTCAAAAGCGCCTGGCCAAGAAGAAGAAGAATTAGTGATGGGGCTTAGCTGTGGAACTCGAAGCGATCTTTTTCATCATTGTCCATGTATATACCCGGTTAACATTATAGATCTCTGTATCATATCCATGGTGAAAGGGGTACGTACCTGTTATTGCGAACTGTAAAGTGTTTTGATCTCGTCACTCTAGACGAAGGTATGGTTTAAGGCATCAAGTTGTTTCTCGTTCAAGAGTGCAATTAGCGTAAGGCAATAACACTACCACACTGGCCAATTCTCTGCTTACGTCTAGACCAATAGTACCACTGGCCTCTAAATTAAGATGTAATACGTAGGGGAAGATAATGTTGGGATGATAAAACGTAGTAGATAATGACATTTCTTGAGAATCATAACTTCTGCTCGTGCGCCTGTGACAGATACAGCATCATTCGGATATAATATGTATTCTACGAAGATATTATATATCAATAAGCCATCCAATTTAGGCAGGTAAAATAAAACCATGGCCGTGTCAGTTCGTCGCGTAGCCCTCTATGAGAATTTAGAGGCATCGTTCAAGGCTTCTGCTTCCTTACCCATTCTATCCATCCAGCGATCAACAAGATCTTGGTTCTCCTTCTGCAGCCGGGATGACCGCTCTTCAGCCATATTCAGTTGAAGGTTCAACGATGCCAGCTCGTCTTGGAAATCCTGAAATGGTGTCAGCAACACTAGAAGGACTCAAAAAAGGGAGGAAAAGGAGCAGCATACCTCCAATAACTTTGCCTTCCCGCGCAACTCCTCATCTCGATCCTTTAAGCGTAGTTGAAAATGGGCGATCTCATTTTCAAATAAGCGAATCCGTCTACTATCCTGAGTGCTTCTCTTCCGCAGCTTCTCCAAGTCAGCGGTCATGCGTGTGAGCTGGTCCTGCAGTTCGGAGCGTGACCGCTGCGCCTCAGCCAGGTCTGCACGTGTTGCTAGGAGGGTCTCTTGAAGAAATGGGTCTTGTGCTCCTGCTCCTGATAGCGCCTTGCTGGAGCGGGATGCTGAAGTGTCTGATGGCACATGCTGTGCTTCAACCGGATCTGAGCTCGGTGGGTTGCTAGCCGCTGCTCCCTGAACCGTGCGATCGGCCAGTTGGGTATCTAATGGTTTTGATCATGATGGTCAGCGAATGGTCAGAATACTTCCGGGAATGTGGACTACCCCAGAAAGTGAGGGTGATCGACATACAAGCATCGTAAATAGCTATGCTGGCTTTCTCTCGTCGATCACGAGCCGCCAGCGCGGCGGAGTACTCCTCTTTCCAGTGGGCCATTTGACAGCAAGTGGTGATAAGGTGAGAGTCTATCTAGCGGACGGACGGCGGACCCCTCATATCATGGAGCCATGGTGGAGCTCAGAGTCGTCGAGGGAGAGACGTATAGCTATATTCACAGATGTTACTAAGTTAATAAAGGAACCAAACGAATTAAAACACGACAACCCCAACGACCTGCACAACTATTTGAAAGCGTGAGGGGAAGAATGGCTGCTGCTTGTCACTGACGGGTGGATGGGGCGCTGACCGCCATCTCCACCGCCCACGTCCGCGTGCATCATCGAAAGCCGCCGTCGCCATTAGCTCGGCTCAGTTCACCGTCCAGGCCCAACCATCACTCTTCCTGTTTGTTACTTGACAACAACTACCCGACTCGCTCGGTGTCTCTGCCAACTGACTGCATCCCTCGCTGCGCTGACGGGATTATATCGAACATCTCTTTGCTTTTTCCCCTTCTATAGACAGAGCTTGACTTGTCCATACACTCACAGCCCCCTCATATCTCCACCATGTCGTCACGGAAGAAGGTCCTGTTGAAGGTACCTCGCCTCCCCCAACTCATGCAGGCCAAGCCGCCTCGATGAAAGCTTCAATTACTCACATAGCTCTCGGGATCTCTTAGGTTATCATTCTGGGTGATAGCGGCGTCGGTAAGACGAGTTTGATGAACCAATATGTCGGTGGCCTTATCTCCCAGCTGTTCCTCGGATCCCCACTCATCCTCATCTCGCTCAACAGGTCAACAAAAAGTTCAGCGCAAGCTACAAGGCCACAATCGGAGCCGACTTTCTCACCAAGGAGGTTCTAGTCGATGATCGGCTAGTGACAATGCAGGCATGTACTTCCCCGCTTGCGAAGATGAACGGAGCGATTTTGGGGATTGGAGTTAACCAGTTCTCAACAGATTTGGGACACTGCAGGACAAGAACGATTCCAGTCCCTCGGCGTTGCATTCTACCGCGGTGCGGACTGCTGCGTTTTGGTCTACGATGTCAACAATTCGAAGAGTTTCGAGGCCCTTGACAGCTGGCGCGACGAGTTCCTGATCCAGGCCAGTCCTAGGGATCCTGAGAGCTTCCCTTTTGTAAGGACTTCTCTTTCCATAAATCTTATCTGATCTAGGCGCATGATTTGCGCGATGTTTAGGCTGGTAGACACGAATACTGATTAGGGTTCAGGTTGTGATTGGTAACAAGATCGATGTGGAAGAGAGCAAGCGGATGATCTCTTCAAAACGGGCTATGACGTTCTGCCAGTCGAAGGGCAACATTCCCTACTTCGAAACGAGTGCCAAGGAAGCCGTCAACGTTGAGCAGGCTTTTGAAGGTTGGTTACTTATACTGGCTACTCGAGTTCAATGCATAGCTAATTTTGCACTCAGTCATCGCCCGGAGCGCTCTGGCACAAGAAGAGGCAGAAGAATTTAGTGGGGAGTTCAGCGACCCGATCAACATCCACCTTGATGGTGAGCGTGACGGATGCGCTTGTTAATGACCCCTTTACTAGACATGCCTTGCGAACGTTTTATATTTCTGCTTCAAGCCCGCTCCATTTTCGCTGTACGCGTCTCCGAACGCTCCCACTTCGTGCTTGTCAGAGCACATCAATGCCTCGTATGAACTTTTGAGCTTGGAAGAGCGTAGCTGTTCTTTTGGGAACACCTGCACTTATACAGTTATGGAGCTCCTCATGTGTCACGCTCCTTGTCTTGTGTTTGCCTGCCAATTCGCATGGGATATCCGTTGATGGTCTTGATTCTGCTTAATATTTCCCTTTTGCTTTTCTGGTACGAAGGTACTATCATGTTCTGTAGGAGTCTGGAATATTATTGCTTATCTGCTGAAAGCTTGTACAGTATAGCCGGTTAAGTAGGCAATTACCACACAACTAGTGTCGTATTACGCAAGACCTATGTTTCTCATAGTCAGTTCATTTCCCTAATTAGAACCCGAAAAGCAAGGAGGATCCCGCTGGCCAAAGAACCAGTGGTATGGTGGAGGAGATCAGGATCGGCTAAGCGTCGCGTGCTTATCTCGGCGCATCTCGTGATGCTCGGCGTTATCAGTTCGGGTTACACCGCAGAGTCACTCCGCCTCCGGTTTCCCTCTCTCCTCCGGTGAATCCCCCCGATCTTGCTCCGTTCACGCCCCCTTCTTTATCGCCTGCTGGAACAGGTGGTGTTCTCAACTTGTACGGCCTTTTATTTACGCCCATGATCTAGGACATATCACTCGCGGTCCGGGGGGTCTAGTATACCTCGTATCGCGTGCGCCGGCGGGGAACTCTATAGAGCCTCGACTCACAGCGAGTCCTTCTCTTATCGCCCGCTACTGACAGCCAGAGAAAGTACGCGGAAAGGACTCAGAAACCATGGAAGTACCCGAGACCACGGAAGGCTCGATCTTGGTCGGCGCCGCGAGACGAACATTGGGCATTTGCCTGCTGCTTGTCGTGGTCTTCTTGTGGACGGCCTCGAACTTCCTCGCCAGTGTATGTGCTTGACTACTCTTGACCCTTCATTAAATAATATACCCGGTGCAGTGCTAATTTAGTCTCTATTCATGTGTCACAGACAATATTCGCCGACGATACATACTCAAAACCGTTTTTCGTGACATACATCAACACCTCGTTGTTCATCCTTCCTCTCTTCACAATTCTCTCTAGACGGCTTTTGAAACTATGGCGGGCAGGGAAGCTCTACCGGATTCGATCTTTCAAAAGTTTATTGGAGCATCTTGATTCTCACGATACGAATGTCGAGGTACGGGGTATACTCAGTCACAATGCAGGTGGGGAGCGTTGGCGCAGCGAGGACGAAGACCCTGAAATATGGGCTGGTGCTAGGTTCAATGCTGCACCCCGAGGTCAGCCATCTAAGCTGGGATTGAAAGCGACAGCGAAACTGAGCTTTGAGTTCTGTCTGTTATGGGTAAGCATATCGCTACACTGAATCTCCAACCTGTATAGAAACGCAGAAGCTAACAAGCACCAGTTCTCCGTGAGTACTAGCGATCAATAGTGTCATCCATCCTCCAATACTGACTCAATCAGGCAAACTACTTCGCAATGGCCTGTCTCCAATACACAACAGTAGGAAGCACCACAATCCTCACCTCAACAAGCGGTACGTACGCCATCACCCCGCATCATCATCCCACCAATAACTAACCCCCAACCCAGGAGTCTGGACCCTCATCTTCGGCGCCCTAATCGGCGTCGAGCGCTTCACCATCCGCAAACTCATCGGGGTAATCGCCTCATTGATCGGCATCATCCTCATCTCCCGCGTCGACATGTCACCCGCCGACAACCCCAGCAATACCAGCGGCAGCGGCAGCACCTTCCCCTCCAAAACCCCCGGCGAAATCGCCCTCGGCGACGCAATGGCCGCATTCAGCGCCATCCTATACGGCGTATACACCATCGTGCTAAAAAAGCAAGTGGGAGACGAATCCCGCGTCAACATGCAACTATTCTTCGGCTTAGTAGGACTATTCAATACGGTCCTCCTCTGGCCGGGCTTCATCATTCTTCATGTTCTCGGTATAGAATCTGTAGGAATGCCTGATACGGGGAGAGTCTGGACGATTATCTTGGTAAGATCTCCCCCACATCCCCAAACCCTCTCTCACGTCAGCAATACACAGATAACTAATACCAATTTTTAATATAGGTAAACGCCCTCGCCTCCCTCGCCTCCGACATCGCCTGGGCCTACGCAATGCTCCTCACCACGCCACTAGTAGTAACAGTTGGATTGAGTCTAACGATCCCGCTCTCGCTCGTGGGCCAGATCGTGCTTCAGGGACAGTATGCGAGCGGGTTGTACTGGGCTGGGGCTACGGTGGTGTTCTTGTCGTTTTTGGTGGTTAATCAGGAGAGCCGCGAGGTGGATGGGGAGGGGCCTGTGGTGGTGGTTGGGAGGGGAGGGGCTGGGGCTGAGACTAGTGCTGGGTATGAGGCTATTCCTGGAGATGGTGGTAATGAGTTTGGAAGGGATAGATGATAGGTATCTATACCTGCTATGGAGGTGTTGGTACGTTAGATAGGTAGTAGGCAAGGGGCTTACTTTACTATCACTGATTGAGGAACTGCTGAGGATGGGAGCAAATTTGGTAGTGAAATTAGCATTGACACAATGTGCTCATGTCTGAAGCACAGAGAGCATTATTGGTACTAGATAGAATTACATGACCACAGTCAGACACAAGGTGTGCTGTGTGGGACGAATGGAAAGAAAATGAAATACATGAAGAGCACGCAAAACCCGCATCACTTCTCATGTCATCCAGGACAATCAAGCCATACGCGAGACTAACCCAACTTGTAATGTCTCTTACTCGCGGGGTCTCAACATCTCATACAATCAGTTATAAAACCACAAGACATTAGGACAAAATATCATGAAGAACATTGGGTATGTATCATCAAACAGGAGCAAGTGCGTAGTAATATAATACCGGCGAACATAGAAACCACAAAGGAGAATAATTGGGTAAGAATTGAAGTAGACTAGCCAGAATCCAAAGTGATATCGAGAAAACTTGAAGGAATGTATAGAAGGGGTGGGATCCGAAGGGTTCCGGAATCTGTTATACAGTGTACTTCTTTTAACGGAGGCCTGCTGCTCCGGGCGCAGGCTCCAGTTTCTTGCGGGCGACGAGAATGCTCTTCAAAGCACCTAGCCACTTTGCAAGAGATTCTTCATCTGGTGCGCATAGTCGATACGACTTTTCTTCCGCGATGATTTGAAGACAGAAGTGTTTCGAACGTGACATAGGGTCGACTTCAGCAGCGTCGATCACCTGTGCCATGGGTATGACTTTGACGGCGGAGTATTCCTTCAACATGGCACGGTTAGTCATAACTATAGAACTTGATGCTAGAGGAATAGCTAAATAATAGAATCCATACCTGTTCATCTTTATAGAAACCAAGGCTTTTCGGGCGCAGCACAACCCATAGTCGCTTCCAGTGGCGCATAGATCCCTTGATTTTGAGGCATTGAAGATACCCGTTGCATACAACTCTCTCCGGGTCACGTGGGACTGCGGACTCATTGCGCGGAATCGAGGAAGGGCCGTCGCTATGAACTGATGCAGGCTGGTTTTGAATGGAAGGCGATGTCATGCGAACGCCGTTGTTGTTCCCAGGGCCATCGGACCATTCTGAATATGACGTGATATCATTTCCCGAGTGATCATGGGGCGAGGCGAAACGCCTCGAATGGTAAGTGGGTGACAGTGAATCTCCGACTTCCGGAGAACTTGGTCGTCCGCGCTGATCAAAATCGGAGTGGTCGGTGGTATCGTAGATGCGGCGCTTGTTGTTTCCGACGGTGTCGCTATTCTTTGATAAGGCGAGGAAGGCCTCTTCGTCTTCGTCCATGCGGGTTTCTGATCGAATGTGTCTAATCCAAGCTTCGGCCTCTTTTTCCGAAGATGCCTGGAAGCGATAATTCTTCGACGGCGAGAAAACGCCAAAAACGTGCTGTCGGTTGGATCTGGGGGACCTGACCGACGCAACGGCCGTGACCTCAGACAACGTGATAGAGGCTCGGAGCCTCGTGGCCTCCTCATCCTTGTATACCGACAGAAGGTTGGGACGTAGAACGAGATATGCCGGTTTCCAGGAGGCCCTGAATGCCTAGTTTGACAGAGTTAGTTCAAGACCGAGCTCGGCTGACGGCGCAAACGACTAACATGTTTGTGCTTCACGCGACGAAACACCTTTCCAGTCTTCAGGACCCGATCGAATTCGAAGCTCCCATTTTCATTGACAGGCGAGAAAGTATCCAAGTTGACATGGCCGCTGCGATAGTGAGCGGATTGATTATTCGGGACTAGAAGCGCCGACGTCTGGACGGTGCCATCGGGTAGCTGGATCGCGGGAGCTTTGGGATTCCCTTCTGCAACCGGTGCGTACGATGTGGGAATTGGTTGAGTCATGATTATAGGAAGCTCGTGCTAGGAGTAAAGGTCTGTGTCGGAAATAGCTGTCGTGTGCAAGTGGTATTCGAACGGCGCGCGAGCGGAGAGAAGGAGTGTATAGCGCTATCTATACCGGCTGGACGGCACACCGGGACGGCGTCCACTTTAAGAACTGTAACGAGAAAAGATCGATATATAGTGAGTGGTAGTGGTTCGGCAAGATTAGAAGAAGGTAGGCAGAAATATTGGCCAAGTAGTAGTATCTGGCTGCTGACGATTAGAGTCGGTCGCGACCGACAGGGTCATGGAGGCTGTGCCAAAAGGAGTGGTGAGCGGGTGGGAAGCGACAACGGGGGAGGAGCAATGAGGGAATGCGATGAAGTAACGAAGCGCTCGCCGTGACGACAACCAGTAAGTACTAGGTTCACACAGAATAAAGAAGTATCATGACTCAAGTGAAAAAGGTCGCAACTCCCTCACCAAACGGATCCCAAGGGTTAGGAGGAGAGAAAAGGGGATCCTTTTCGGGGACGAAAAGAGATGAGGAGAGAGGGGGCG